CCCCGCAGGCATCCTCCCCATTGCACAGGAGAGTGCTGAAGTGCCACCGGAGGCGCTCCCTGTGGTTGCACTCGACTTAAAGCTCTGAGTCGGTCTGCCCGGTCTCTCCCTGCGATGAATCACTGAATCACGGGCCGCCAGACACAGTCACACCCGCCCTGACAGCCCCATGTGGAAGCAGGCCTGGGGCCAAGTGGCTTAATGCTTAACGTCTGGGCCCCGATGCAGCCTTGCAGGCGAGAGGTCTTGCCGGTGGCCTGGGGCGCTCGGGCGGGACCGGGCCCACCCCACTTCCCTGCAGGCTGATGAGGCTACGTGGCCCACGTCCTCAGATGACCCCTGCCTCAGCCACCAGCCGTGCTGTCCTCCCTCCCCTGCCCCCCCGACCACTTTCTGGCCTCAAATCCCTGAGGGGCATCTTGGTGATGGATAGATGGAGGCGTCATGACCTCAGCACGAGCAGCAGAGAAAACCCTAAGCAGGCGAATGAACCTGAACAAACGGAGACTTCGAACAAAAGGCAAAAGTGTCTGGACTCCAGGAGGCGTCACCCCCAAGCGGCCGCTGGAGCACTTGTCCGAGGGGAGCTTCCAAGCTGACGATTAAGAGCGTGATGAGGACAGTAACCAAGCTCCGAGACGAGGGAGAGTGGCTACGGAGAACGAGTGGGACACATCGGGAGAAAACAAAACACACGGTGGCTGGAATACAGAGTGCGACGTGGGCCAGGGCCACCTGGAGGCCGTGGAGGTGGCGCCTGGGAGGGACGGGGGCCCAGGGGAGCACTCACAGCCATGGGGTGTGTGGGGGCGAGTCGGCGCCCACACCTGGGGCCATGGGACAGAGCAGACCAGCAAATGGAAAACAAGTTCAGAGTTTCCAGAATTACAGAATGACGAGACCGTCCCCGCCTGCGGCCACCATCCTAAAGTCTGAGGGCACAGACCAGCGAGGAGGTCCAGATGACCAGGAGGGGTGCTCAGGCGGCCATGTCTTGAGCCCCACGTTCGGGGTCACAGAGCCCCCGTCTGAGAGCGCGTGGTGGGAGGGGGTGCAGGCGGTGACAAGTTCAGAGTCGGCAGGAAGAGTCAGGGCAACAGGAAGGACGGACAAAGAACTCGCAGACCAGCCCACGGAAATGCACTCGAGGCAGGGGACGGCACAGAGACGAAGGGAGGAAAGACACAGGGACACGCGTGGAAGTGGAAGGCAGAGCAGACACTGGACTTGGACACGGAGTAGGGCTGCACACCTCCTCCGGGGGCGGTTTTAGACACGTCTGCCAGGAGAGGGGACAGGAAAGGGTGCCGCTCCTTCCGTTGTCGCTCAAAACTCCTCAGTGCAAGGGACACTGGAAACGCTGGCTGGGAACCGGAGGTTTCGAGGGTCACGGCCAGAGGGTGGCTGGCATGGGCAAAGAGGCCCCGCTCCGTGGGCTGCGCCCCCCACTGGCCTGAGACCCTCGCTGGGTCACTCCGTGTCTGTCACTCACTAGCAGGAGATGACACGGAGGTATGTGAGTGGGGTTTGTGTGGGGAATAAAAGGACACAAAGAGAGGACATGGTCGGCAAGGAGCCCAGGCATGTTAGCGTGTTCTTTCTGAAATATCCCATTGTGACCATCCTCGAGGCCACTGTCCCCTCGTTTGGATGATGCATTTGGGCTGAGCCACAAGAACAGAGACTCGCCGCACCAGCCAGAGGGGGGCCAGATGGGGCCATACAGGGGTCAGACATGGGTCAGATGGGGGTCAGAGGGACACCACACAGGGGTCAGATAGGGGCCATCCGGGGGCTGGTGGGGGTCAGACAGGGGTTAAGCAGGTGCCAGATAGGGGCCATACAGAGGCTGGTGGGGGTGAGACGGGGGCTGAGGGATCAAGTGGGGGCCAGGTGGGGGTCAGATGGGGACAGGGGTCAGACAGGGGCCAGATGGGGGCCAGACGGGCTGGTGGGGGTGAGACGGGGGTCAGACTAGGCCGGACCGTCGGGATGTGCACAGATCCCAGGACCCCTGGTCTGTCCCTGAGGGTCTGGGAGCACTGACTGCCTAAGGTTCCAGGCGACTAACGGGCTTGTGCCGAGCAAACCAGGCGTCAACTCCAATTTCTCGCGATGACGAGACAGGGTCGTTACCCACACACAACCGACAGCTCGTCACCCGCTGAGGTTGAAGTGGTGGGTGCCATACTTACTTGTCACACTAAATAAATGTGCAGCCACCGGTTTCCCAGCAGAGGAAACTGGAAAATACACCAACTCTGGGTTGATTTCGGAACAAAAAGAGGGCCGGACCCGGTGTCGTGCTCCACTGTTCCTGCTAAAAGTCCGTCTCTTCGATCAGAATGTGGGCATAGTTTCCCCATCTGTGCATCCCACTTAAGCAACAGGTCCTCCCTCCCTTTCATTCCAAAAATTAGGCCAAATAAAACCTAGCCAGACTGCCAGTAAATAAAAGAAGTCATGTGTCAGCAGAAAATATAATAAATAATATATAAAATATATAAATATATATAATATGTAAATATAATAAATAATATATAAAATACAATAACTGTTATAGGCCAGTGGGTGGGGCAGGATCCCACCCCTACATCGTGTCCCACACCCAAGGTGTTAGCGGCAGGTGCCCAAAGCCCAGGGTAAGACACACTAGGCCCTGGGGCCCTGGGTGGCTCAGGGGTTCGGCATCCCACTTCGGCTCAGGTCACGATCTCTCTGTTTGTGAGTTTAAGCCCCACGTCGGGCCCGCTGCTGTCAGTGCGGGGCCCACTTCAGATCTTCTGTCCCCCTCTCTCTCTGCCCCTCCCCTACTCGCTTGCTCTCTCGAAAATAAACAAAAAACTAGGCCCTGCCAGGCACTTGGCTTTAGCTCACTTTGTTGTAGCCACTTAAAGAACGCGTTCCTTCCCCAATCGCAGGTGAACATGCTCACAGGGGAAGGGTCTGTGGCGTCTGGCTCCCTGGGCACCAGGAGGAAGCGTGACGTGCAGACATGAAATTGGGGTGGCCTTGACGAGAGTGAGCACCCGCGGATGAAGCAAATGCAAGCTCCAACCCCACACGCAGAGCTAACTCAGGACGTCGCTGATACTCGTCTCTTTCTAGCCCCAAACACAGCTGGTTCTGCTGACACGGGCATAAATTACATGGGTCAGGATGGCAGGAGAAATTAAGACAGCCCAAAGCAGGTGCTTGGCTTAAGCACAGGTCTTTAAAATTCGAATCAATGTAAAATAACGTCCGGTTTGAAAGACTCACCATGGTGGCTAAACCAGGCCAGCTCCGGGAGAAGTGAGGCTCCAGCTCTGGGAAAGGAATCACGGGGGAGGGGACACCGCAGGGACAGAAGTGGGGCAGAGGCGGACACCGGCAGCACCACCTGGGAGCCAGTGAGGGCTACTCTGTGCCTGAGGCCACGCTGTCCCCAGTTCCCCGGGCTCTGTGGCCACACCAGAGGGGGGCGGGGGAGGGAGCGGGTGGCCGCGGGGTCGACGGCTGGCATCCCCTCCAGATGTCCCTCGCCCTCGTCATGGAGTCGCGTGCAGCGGCCAAGGCCAGAGACCAGGGGCAGCGCGCTGGCACACGCTGCCTCTTCGAGCACAGGTGCGTCCTCTCCCTGGGCCTCGGTGGCCCCCCAGCCAGGCGAAGGGCCAAGCCAACACCCGTCTCAGGGAACCGAATCCGGCATGCCTTCTGCAGGCGGTTCCAAGTAAAGGTGTCACCTAATTTCCATTCCAGGTGCCAGCAGCCTGGTTTTGCCTTTCACAGGGCTGCTTAGCGGCTCCGGGCAACTGGGAGCGAACGGGTCAGCCCAGCCGCCAGGACTCCGTGAGTCAGGATCACAGGCCTACGTGTGGACGAGGAGCTGCTGGCCTACGCGGTCTCTCGGGGACCGGCCGGCGACGCTGCAGCAGGGTCCTTGTGCTGCCGGGCTTGTCTCCCCGCCACCCCTCCGCCAGCACAGGGAGAGCGAGGGGTCACATGTGCCCAGGACCCGGGCCGAGTGGAGCAGTGGCGTCCAGCTGTAGGCACCTCGGCAAGCCGACAGCAAGCGCCAGCAAATGGCCCTCATTTTCTGAAAAAGTCAAAAAGAACAAAAAACAAAACTACCTTAGAGCAATTGCTAATCCCAACCCCAGCGGTTGAAAGCAGGCCTCCTTTCCTGTACTGTCTCGGGGAGACTAAAGAAATCTCTGGAACAAGTCCGACTCGGCGGCACAACTGAGCAACATCTTGCACAGCCCTCTGCCAGTCCGGCGGGGAAACGCCACGGGAAGAAACGCTCACAGTGATCTTCCCAGGTGACTGCAAAGAAAAGTGAAGTGGGAAAGACAAGTCTGTGCCTCAATCCAGCAACAGAGACTAGGTCAGGACCCGCGGATTCACAGATGCCATCCCACACGCTCTCTTTCCCAGGAAACCGCCGCCGAGTGAAGAAAACCACTAAGAAGAAAACAAGGTGTGCAGGACAGAGGCTCTGGGACACAGGTGTACACAAAGCAGAACTCAGGACGTAGAAGACAGGTTCCAACCATCAGTGGCAAGTCAGGGGGCACAGAAAGAGTGCTTTCTTCCACGTACGCCATGTCAGGTGACAGGGAAGGACCATTCCTGATGTGTGTGAAAACACAGGTGACGAAAGAGATCGCTGGTTGCACGTGGTGACTCGGTAGGTAAGGAAGGGACACTTCCAGTCAGAAATGCCTCAGATGGTCGAGAAGGATAGTTCATGGTTACAAATGGTAATGAAAGTAACAGAGAAGGACTTTCTGGTCATAAATTGTGACCCAGGTGACAGGAAAGGCTCCAGTGATAAGTGGTAAATCGGTGGACAGAGAAAGATTCCTAGTCATTAATGACAGCTTGGGGGTTAGAAAAAGATGGTTTCCG